GATTTCCTTGATTGTTATTGGTCTATTTAGGGTCTCAATTTCTTCTTGTTCCAACCTAGGTAGGTTGTGTGATGTCAGAAAGTCCTCCATTTCCTTAAGGTTTTCAAGTTTGTTTCCATACAAGTGTACGTAGTGGTCTCTAATGATCTTTTGTATTTCTTCAGGGTCAGATGTGACTTCATCTTTTGTGTTTCTGATTGTGCTCATTTGGTTTTTTTCTCGTTTTTTCTTGGTCAGTCTAGCTAGGGGACCATTGATCTTGTTTATCCTTTCAAAGAACCAGCTTTTTGTTTCATTGATTTTTTTGTATTATCTTTTTGTCTTCTATGTCCTGGATTTGGGCTTTTATTTTGGTGATCTGGATTCTTCTGCTGAAATTAGGGTTTTTGTGGTCTTGCTTTTCCAGCTTCTTTAGGTGACTTGTTAGGTTGTGAATTTCTGTTCCTTCCATTTCTTCATGTGTGTTTGTAGGGATATAAATTCCCCTCTTACTACAACTTTCAGGGCATCCCAGAGATTTTGGTAAGATGTTTCTTCATTTTCATTTGTTTCCAGGTATCTTTTGATCCCTGTTTTGATTTCGTCGTTGACCCAGGAGTTGTTTAGCATCATGCTATTTAGTCTCCATGTCTTTGTGGGTTTTGGGGGGACTTTGTTGGTGTCAATGTTTATTTTTATTCCACTGTGGTCCGAGAAGGTGTTTGGTAGAATTTTGGTCCTTTTAAATTGATTTATTGCCAAGTATGTGGTCGATCTTAGAATATGTTCCACGTGGTGATGAGTAGAATGTGTATTCTGTGGTCTTTGGATGGAGTGTTCTGTAGGTATCAATTAAGTTCATTTGGTCCAAAGTCACATTAAGGTTCTGGATCTCCTTGCTGATTTTTTGTCCTGATGATCTGTCTAGGGTTGTGAGTGGGGTATTAAAGTCCTCAGTTATGATGGTGTTAGAGTCGATATCTTTCTTTAGTTTTCCAAGAAGTTGCTTTATGAAAGTTGGCACACCTATGTTGGGTGCATATATGTTTAGGATAGATATTTCTTGTTGATGGATTGAGCCTTTTATCATTATGTAGTGGCCTTCTGTATCTTTTTTGAGTTTTAATAGCTTGAAGGGAATTTTGTCTGAAATTAAGATTGCTACTCCTCCTTTCTTTTGTATTCCGTTTACCTGAAAGTTTGTTTCCTATCCTCTTACTTTGAGTCTGTGGGTGTCCTTTCTAGTGAGGTGAGTCTCTTGAAGGCAATAGATTGTTGCCTGATGATATTTTATCCATTTTGCCATTCTATGTCTTTTCAGTGGTGCATTTAGTCCATTCACATTTAGGCTAATAATTGAAATGCAAGAGTTGATCCCTGTCATAAGGTTCTTACAGAGTTGTTCCTGTTTGTTTGTTGTCTTTCTTTGGGTTTTGGAGTTGGTTCATGTGTGTTTTTAATCTTTTGCCTGTACTCTTGTGAAGAATGTTGTTGTTCTTTTTTCTTTTTCTTCTGTGTTCAGTACTTTCTTAAGTGTTTCTTGTAGAGGTGGTCTGGTGGCAGCGTAGGTTCTTAGGGATTGGATATCTGGAAAAGATTTCAATTCTCCCTCACTAATGAAGCTTAGTTTGGCTGGGTAGGTTATTCTTGGTTGAAATTGTTTCTCTTTTAGAACTTTGAAGATAGGGCTCCAGGCTCTCCTAGCCTGAAGGGTTTCTGTGGATAAATCTGCTGCTATTCTAATTGGTTCTCCCTGGTAAGTAGTCTGGCCTTTTTCTCTTGCTGCCTTTAGGATTTTTCCTTTCATAGCTACTTTGTTTAGGCGAATTATTATGTGTCTGGGAGTTGGTCTTCTCATTTGTTGTCTTGCAGGGGTTCTCTGAATCTCTTGTGTTTGAATTTTTTCATCTTTGATGAGATGAGGGAAGTTTTCTTGAATGATTTCATGAAATGTTTGTTCCAGTGTGGCTTCTGTTTCTCTTTCTGCCTCAGGAAGCCCAATTACTCTTAGGTTTGGTCTCTTGAAGTGATCATTCATCTCTTGCAGGTTTTGTTCTGTCTTTTTGAGCTTCTTTTCTATGCTTTTGACAGTTTGGGTTG